CTCCTCTCCTCTCCTCTCCTCTCCTCTCCTCCAGGTAGCACTAACACTAAAACAATACAAATGACCAACTGTCTGCAAGGAGTATAAATCTTTCCATTCCCCACCATCCAATCAAAGCTAAAGAAGCTTCTTGGGTGAGAAGCAAAATGTCTTCAAAAAAAAACAAACCCAAGAAAGTCCAATTGCCTCTTGAAAAAGCATCTTTGGGAGTCCTGTTCCATCTCTGCTCTTTAATCCCTCTTCCATGTCTTCACCTACCTGTAAGTGTAAGGACCTTTCTGCTGAAGAATTGGAGCGGAACCGTTCGCCATCACATCCTCTGGGTTCTGTACATCGAACAACCAAAACTGTCGGTAGATGGGACTCCCTGCAACCACAAAGTTCTCATAGGCAGTTGTACCCTTTTCAATGACAGTTTCCTGTAAAGAAGAATAACAACAACGGTGAATATGTTTTGTTCGTCCTAAGTCCATCACAATATATAACTCTTTTCAGACATCATTTGTTTAAAGAGAGAGTGGCCTAGATAATATTTCCTGGATGGGTGAAATTTCAACTGATAATGGTTCTTATTTCACAGCAATACAGGTAGTCTCGACTTATAACAGTTCATTTAGTGACCTAAATTACAATGGCACTGCAAAACCTATGGCCAATTTTCAGGCTTACAACCGTTGCAAGCATCTCTGTAGTCACGTGATCAAAATTCAAGACACAACTGATTCATATTTAGGACGATTCCAGTATCCTGGATTCAAGTGATCTCCTTTTTTGACGTGCAAAGTCAATGGGGAAGCCAGGTTCACTTAGATAAGATAAGATAACCTTTATTGTCATTTTTTTTTACTATGGGCACAACGGCACACATCAAAAATGAAATTTAGTTCCCCGCTCTCAGACTGAAACACATACATGACACACACCTAAACATACTATGTGCAACATAGGTATAGACCCACACCCCTACATATACATAAAAAAGAAATATTAAATACTGTCCATCTTGAATATATAATGGAAGGAGGAAGCTTGAGAGTTCACAAGGTTATCGCTGTATGGAATGAAACTATGGCTGAATCTGGATTTTCTGCTATGGATACCACAGAGCCCCCTCCTCCCAGAAGGTAACAAGGAAAACAGGTTGTGAAGAGGGTGTGTAGTGTCCCAGATAATCTTACGGACCTTGCTCAAGCAACACTTCTGTGCTATGTCCTGGATGGGAGGGAGGGAACTGCCAGTGATCTTTTTGGCCATCCTCACCATTCTCTGCACCGCCTTCCTGTCTGAAGCAGGGATGCCTCCAAACCAAACTGTGATGCTGTATGACAGGATGCTCTCGATTGTCCCCCTGTAGAAAGTGGTCAGGGCAGGGGAAGGAAGATGTGCTTTTCTCATGCAACGCAGAAAATGCAGGCGCTGCTGAGCCCGCTTCACCAGTTTCTCACTGTTGAGCGACCAAGCCAGCCTACTCGTTAGCTGCACACCCAGGAATTTGATGCTGGTAACTTAATGACTGTGCTACTAATTTAACAACTGCTGTCAACGCTGCTAACTTCGGATGTTTTTGCATTGACACAGATGAAAATGTAGCCATTTTCTTCCTTTTGCTTTTAGAGTTAGATGATGCTGGGGAGGGGGGATGTGAATGAGAGTCCAGCTAGACATAACAACACTGAACCTAGCGTGAGAATCAAGGTTGTTGAAATCAGAGCTGATAAAGAATCGGAGGGCTGGAGAGCTGAAGAGGAAATCCGAGCTTCAAGCTAATTAGGGAATGTGATTTATGATGGCAAATTGAAGGAGGGAATTGTGCTTTGATACTATGTGCCCAGGGGAGCGGAATTCAGTTTTTGGCTTCCATTATGTAAGTGCCGATATTCTGCTACTCAAATAAAGATCTTTTAAAGTAAAAAATGCCTCGAAGTTCTTTGAAGAGTTTCATGAAGAGTTGGAACAATGACAACTGCATTGATTCACTTAACAAAAAACCCAGTCATGAATTTTGGCCATGGCCCATAGCTTTTGCAACTTTAGTATTAAAATTAAAATATGCTCATTGTTATTGAGAAAAGCTATCTAAGTACTTACTAAAATTCAACAATGACTTTATGGCACATACTGTAATCAATCCCTGATCAATGCTGAATACCATCATTCTCTCTCCTTCTTACAACATCATAGCCCTAGATATTATTATCTCTCTAATCTAATCTTGCAACATTAAATATTCTTCAATCAGAGTTAGTGACCTTCCATCTGTTGTTTTTATCAGTGGTTATGAGAGTTGAACTTCAGCCTTTATAAGATAGTTGGAGGTGATTATTTTCAAGGCTATAATAATCCAAAGGAAATCATTTTAGAAGATGGATTATAAACTGTTTGACTTAAGTCCTAGGCTGATTTTGCCAAATAGTCAGCAAGAGATTTCAAAAGCAGATATTCTCATTACCCAAAAATGAAGGTGACTTTAATTATTATTCAGAAATCAGCAAGCCAAGAATACTTTAATGTTTTTTTCATAACAAACAAGAACCAGAGGTTTTTTTTTTAACCAGGCTTCAACTGGTCCAGAATGCGGCCGCGCGGGCGGTGTTGGGAGCGACGCGTCGCTCCCATGTAACGCCGCTGCTGCGCGAGCTGCACTGGTTGCCAGTAGCCTTCCGGGTACGCTTTAAGGTGTTAGTTACCACCTTTAAAGCGCTCCATGGCATAGGACCTGGATACCTCCGAGACCGCCTTCTGCCACAGATTCCCTCCCACAGACCGGTACGCTCCCACAG